TTTTTTTTTTTTTAATGTGTATGATTTATAAAACAGATATATATCCTTCGCTGCATTTATTCTCATGAAGAGATGTCTTTAGATTGGAAGTAATAAAATAGACATACAAGGTCTTCCAGAAGAAATATACAATTTTATTAACATATTTATTCATTATTGACTTTTATTTTTATACTCTAAATTCTAAAGCAAATGTTCCATGTGCCATCTTTTTTCCTATAAGTAAATTTTATTCAACATTCTTATGTATTTTTGAGATATTTGTTATTTGCATTGCATATAAATTATACTGTTTAAATCTTAAATTTCATATAATCATTAAAAAAAAAATCCACTGAAATTGATTTAAATAATTTTAGTACATTTCTTGCAGTATTATATCCATTATATATTGCAGTGTAATATAAATAGTACAAATGTAAAATCTAGATTTGTATCATATTGAACATATATAGAGTAAATAAGGTTCACTTCAAAAAAGAACCAAAACTTGTAGTATGTGTGATTATTAGTAATTAACATATTGATAAAGTTATTTTATTTTCTTTCAGAATATCTTGTATACTATTTGCCTTAAATGAATGAATAAAAGTTTTTTAAATACTTTCATGCATAAAAATTGTAAATTATTATATTTTTATAATTTAAAATTAAATTTTTAATATTTAAAACATTTAACAAAAGATTAATATTATAAGGCCAATATTATACTTATAAAATCTTATAAATATAGATAAGACTGCTCTTTTTAGTAAAATTTTATTTATATTTTATTCAATTCGTTAAATGTTGTAAGTCTTCTTTATCAACTAATAAATCAACTTTATTCATTACTATTGAAAATATATATATAGTTATGATATAATTTTATATAATTTACTCTAAGAATATACAATACTCTAAGAATATATAATACAAAACTTATAATCAATATCTTATTTGTAACAAATCTTTTGGTCTTTTTCAGATTATATTTTACTTCAAAATATACTGCATATTTCAATAAACATGCAATTTTTTTCAAAGAATATACATTCAATATTAATTATTAACTATTTCATAAAATTATATGATAAATAAAATTCTTATATTAACAGCCTCGAGTTTTCTCAAATAACTTCAAATTGTTTTTAACTGATAAGATTTAATAAATGAAATTAACTTTTTTTTTTATTAACAGAAAAGTAACCAAATAATTGAAAGAAAAAGAGAAAGAGATTATTATATAATATTAGAATGATAATATTAGGATGATTAATAAATAAATAATCTATTATTTGTTTATTAATCTATTATTAAGATGATTAATAAATAAATAACTTTATATCATATGAATTAATGATCTTATACCATCAATGTAAAATGTAAACCATATTGAAAATGTGCAGCTAATAAAATAGTATATTATATGTATGTATTATATTTATGATACATTCTGATTGTAATGTAATTTATATATGTATATGTAGAATATTTTTTAATTCTTCTTAAAGTTCATTTTAAAGTTTTTGTAAACTAAATTGTATTTGTAATTTTGTATTATTTCTTTGAGTTAAGGTTGTTATTATGTTTCTTTGACTTAAAGTTGAAAAAAAATTAAACTAAAAATTAAGTATTAACATTATACATACACATATAAATACAATGCTTCAAATTTAGCTACATATAATAGATTTTCAAATGTTTGAAATAAATTTAGTAAATAATGTTAAATTTATACTGTACGGAGTATAATTTTTTGAAATATAGAGGATATAAAAATTATAGAAAAAGATTATAAATTCACTAATTATATTTTATTAAGATTATATATATAATTTATTCAAATAATATATAAAAATATTTGTTTTGCATCTCTTTTGTAATGTACATATATCAATTCTATATAAATGAAAAATTTTATTTGTCTCAAGTTTTTATTAACATATTGTAAATACACTACATTTTCATTCTTTTTTTTCTGTTATATTTCATAATATATTGTCAAATATATTAGATAATACAATGAACAAATATAATTATGTTTAATGTTATTGCATGTATTAATGATATTTTCTGTTAATGAATATAAATTTATGATTTTGTAACTAAATAAAGTAATACAATATTTATAATGTATAAATAAAATAAATAATAATGTATACATAAAATAAAATAAATATTTTATAATGCATTATAAAATAAATATTATGTTGATTTAAATTTTTTTCCCTTTAATTAAATATACTTTGTTCAGTAATTTAAGTCATTAATATTCTTTGTTAGAATATATATAATGTTCTTAATTGATAATAAATTATATACATTTGATAATAAATTGTCATTTATGCAAATATATCTGTTATTATACAAATTAATTTTACTAGTAATTTGTAAATTATATTATTTTTTACTAGGAATATTAAAATTATTCGTTTTCGGTATTTACATCTTAAATTATAATTAATGTTGCAAATATATTATATACTTATAAAGCAATTTGTTTATTCTAATTTCGAACTTTTATTTTCACGTATATTTCATTACACACATTTTTCTTGCAAATTTTGAACATACAAAAAGATTTGGAGAGTAACTGAGAACTAACATCGAAGAAATGTTCGGGTACAGTAACTAGGGATTTTCGTATTATGTCAACACTTGTTGAAGTCATTACAAATCAAATTATTATAGACGTGGTTCCGTGTGTTCGATTTTTTAAAAATTTAATTTTCCTTTGTTTGTTTTACTCTAAAAAGTACGGATATATCTGCTGGTAGAGGATGTCTGGGGATATTCAAGCGAGAAAACGGAAAGAGAAAAAACGTAAAAAGGGTAAAAAAAATAGGCTACTGAAAGTGTGAGAGAATTATTATAATTTCAATATTTGTATTTATTAATATCAAGAAACAATGTTTTCATTAATTCTTAAAATTATCATAGAAGATTTATACTTAAAAATATAAATATCAAGCTAATCTTTAGTTTATTTTCTATAATTATGTTTATTTAAAGAAATATATTTTGTTTTATATTCAAAAAATTACAACAAAATAATGTCAAACGATAAATATAATGTTTATTGAATACTATTTGTTGATTTACTTGATTTTACAAATTTTAATACTGAAATATTATATAATGCTTACGTATATATACATATTAAGTATATATACGATCTATGTCTACATATGTATGTATATCACATTTCATAATATACTTCATATATTACACAATTGTTAAATAATTATGAATTATAATCCGTATTTTTATGAAATATTTGTGAATTGTATAATTTTAATATTAGCATGCAATAGTAAAATATAAGTTAAAAAAGTCTAGATATTATAAATTAATTTTAATTTTTATATATTACTATATAATTCATTGATGATTTATATATTACTATATAATTCACAGATTGATGAAACTTTACGAAAAAGATTTATGAAAAGATTTTTTGTTTAAATTATATATAATTATATATATGCACATTTACGTGCGTATTGTGTGTTCCCTCGCGTTTGCATGTAGTTCTATATATGTACATCGCTTATTTTTATTTGAAAATACGAAATCATTACAGATTTTCTATTTAAATTTATGCTCCTCATTACAAATTATCAAAAAGTAATTTGATTTTAAATTTATATTTTAAATTATATTGTAGTGTACTTTACGATAATGTTAGATTGTATGCAAAATTTCAGATATTTTGAGGCATATTTGGCAATGTTGCTGAAATTAGAAAATACAGGGTCTTAGAAGTTTGATCAGCCTAGCTTTTGGCTTTCAAAAATAGATCTTCCTTATTATCCAGTCTAAAAACATTTTTCGCCAATTTATTTATAAATTTCACGTGTTTTTAAAATCCATTGCTATAATCCATTGTTATATCATTATTTATAATGAATACGTAATTTAATACACTTAATTTAATTAATAGTTAGAATTAAAAGTAAAATTAAAGTAATTAAAGAATTATTGTGAATACTTGAAATAGTACTTACATTCATTGCATATGTTGAAACGAAAATACGTTTCATTATTAAACAATATTGTAGAGGAATATTGTAAAGAAATAGCTTGTAATGAATTACAAAAAATGACAATATTTTAAAGTTTATATCATTTTAGAGTTGATTATTAAATTGCTATTTTTTTTATAATTATTACAAAACTTTAGAGAACATAATATTGTTTTAATAATGATATATTTATTAGAAAATTTATAGAAAATAATATTTAATATCTCGTAAAAAAAAAACAATAATAATAATGATTGTTATCGGTACTGATATTGTATTATTGTTGATATTATTAACTTTGTAAAATGATATAGTTAATAGAAATAAAATAAGTGAATAAGAAAGTAAATAAAAATTTTTTAATATTATAAGTTTTAAATAAATGAAAATAAAGAAAAGCATTATTTTTTCCGATATTTAAAAATAATTTTGAAAACACAAGGAAAAGATAAGGAGTTTTTCGACTTTTTTTCAGCTTCATACTACCATAAAAATGTTTAATTAACATAAAAATCTACATATATACGCACAGCACG